TTTTTTTTGGTTTATATGGTTGTTTGTCAAAAAATTATTCAAATTGCAGATTGTTGTGAGGGATTTTTTGGTAATTGGTTTTTTTTTTTATTATATGATTGTTTGCCAAGAGATTATTCAAATTGTAAGTTGTTGCGATGAATTTTTGGACAACTGGGTTCCAGTGAATCGAGTTGGGTTCGATGGAATCTATTTACTGGGTTCCAACAAACCTAGCTCTACTTTTTTTTTTTTTTGGTTATATGTTTGTTTATCCAGAGATTATCCAAATTACAGGTTGTTGTGAGTGATGTTTGAGATTTTTTTTTTCATATTTTTTAAATATTGTCTAAATGATTTCAATCTTGAATGTAAAGAACATCGTCGACAGAAAGAATAGAAACAGTAATCAATGGGCAAAGAAGCAATTCTTAGTAGTAATGTGGGACTCATTTGGACAGATTTAGCGCGTTTTGGCCACGGTAGCATGACATGGCAAAAGTTTTTGTGCACATCATCACTTTTTTAAATTTTGCTCTCCACATCATAAAAAAAATATAAAAAATGCCACATAAGCAGAGTTAACGGCCCAAATTAACAGAAGGACTAACGGAGTGCATTTCGTATAGTTGAGGGATTAAAAAAGTGCAAAAAATTGTTGAGGGACCAAAAATGTGTAACTCACTAAAGTTAAGGGACCAAATTTAACATTTAACCTATTATCAGACTGCTTATCTATGACAGGCACTTTATAACAGATCCATTTTCTTTTCCAATCCAGGGACCGCATCTTCTTGCCCCAACAGGAAGTGACCTTGGACGTTATGGCAAGGAGGGGACAGTATTTGCAGGATATCATTATGACCTTAACTTTCTGACAATTCACGGCAGAAGTAGATTTCCTGGTCTAAATATTTGGTTGAGGAATGGACAGAAGGTTGAGGTGAAGGTTCCTGTAGGATGTCTTCTAATTCACACAGGGAAGCAGGTAAGAGCCTTAGTTGTTTACTGCCCAATTTACTGATCTCTACTGATAAATAAATAATAATGAAGACAGTCATGGCTTGCTGACTTGTTAACAAATTTTTTCTGGCGTTCT